TAAATATAAACCAACTGCAGTTATAATTTGAATTAATTCACATGTTGATGAAAGCCACAGTCCAGAGGATCCTTCAACTTTGCATTTTCACACGTTATATGTCACATTACACTGTTATCAAGTCTGAGTTAGCAACAATTTGAATCCACAGAGTCAAAGCATTTAAATGTCTTTTGCAATTTATATAATTGTGTGTGAGTGAAAGACATGAGACAAACTTTATCAAGGCTGGTCTTTGCACAGTCGTGTAGAGCGTGGAATGAATTTGCAAAACCCAATAAGACTGTAGTTTGCTCTGTCACGCTGCTGATGACACAGACTTTCTCTTCACCGACAAGTGGCTTTCCAAAGATGAACAAAATTGAAACCTCTCTGTGCAAAGTATACACAACAGTACAAAGTTCTGTCATTACTGTTGCCTCTCTTTCAGCTCCACAACTGCTGAAACTTTTGTTGCTTCCAAGTTTGTTGTAGTATAAAAAACTAACCTTCAGATAAATGCTCATTAAGTTTGTGAATAGAAGAAAGTGAAATTCTGCAAACATCAGCTCTGAAGCTCACACTGCTTATTTAATTAAGCAGCACAAGGCTTTAGCCACATGTGTTGTCACCACACCCCACATCATTAATTTGGATCATTTGGAGTAGAAGCGAGGGAGCTTGTCCAGCCTTCCTGCAGACCCTGAAGAGAGCTTGTCTTTGTATTATTATTGTCTTATTGTGACTTATGGCCAAAACCTACAGCAGCTTAAAGTCCATGTTTATATTTTAAAACATCACTCATCACAAATGCTTTTACTTTTGATGCAGTGTTGATCATAGGAGAAAACTGACTTGTCTATTAGAGCGGTGACTGTCATCATGATATAGTGATGATCAGGTTCAGTCCTCTGGAGATCAGAGTGTGTGTGTGTGTGTGTGTGTGTGTGTGTGTGTGTGTGTGTGTGTGTGTGTGTGTGTGTATGTTGAGAACTGAGAAGTACACACACACACATACACACACATACCATGGCCGACTGTTGATGCTGCTTTGAATTTGCTTTGTCTCCTATGAGATGTATTGTGGGCTGTCAGTCATGTGTACAGGGTGGAATTCCCTGCCAAGGCCTCCACTGGCTCTGCTATAAGGAGATAGGACGAAAACACACTAACACAGTGTCCCTCACACACACACACAAAACAGAGACACTCCGATACACTGCTCTGCATAATACCCTTTTTCCAGCCTCCCCATGTTGTGAAATGGCTTTGCTCCAGCCGTGGCCACATTTCCTAGCAAGTCTACACACAGACACACACACACACAGACACACAGTGACACACACACACAGACACACACACACACACACACACACACACACACACAGCGCTCAGCAGATGCTAAGCCAGGATCCCAGCCTGCAACGTAACCCTGCTTGATCCTCCATCATACACACACACACACACACAAACTCTCAGACCCACTCCACCCTGCTGAGTGGCCGGGTGCAAGTCATCCACCTCTTGCCTTCTGACAGGGAGCAGCAGTCTGTCAAACACATCAAACCAAGGCTGGATTAAAGGTCCAATCCCCTCAAAAATCCTGTTCTGCCTCGCCCAGTGGACGAGGTTCAGAGAACCGGGCGCCAGTGGACTGATTTTAAAACGGCTTCCCCAGCTGGATTCATCTCAAAGTAATGCTGTAACACTGCTGCTCCTGTGGGGCAGTCGGTGCCCTTTTAGTTTGTCTGTCATTTGATTGGTGGATATCAACAAAAAAGAAATGACATTACCATAAACTTAATTTAAACACAGCTCTGCTTTCTTGCTGCTGTTTGTTGGCCTTTAGGTTTAGTTGGTCAGATCCAGTAGCTGTGTTACCTTCACGCCCTCACACTGCATTTCTCTGTGAGCATACAGACAGCAGGACTTGAGTCTAGGTTTCATTTTTGATTTAATTCAAGCCTTGTTTCTTTAGCTGTCCTAATTTCAGTCAAAGTCCACGTACTTACTGCATCTTGGTTCTTAGTGTCGTACATGCCTTTTTGTTTTGGGCTCACTCTCCATGTTACTGTCCTTTTTTTCACCCCACTGCTTATCCTCAGCTCTCCTCATGAGGATCCCTCTGTGACTTGGATCAGAGTTTGTTACATTGTTTTTCTTGTACTGAGGGGTCTAAGGTCAGTTATTATTTACCTTATGTATTATTTACCATATTTAGTTGTGAGATTTGTAAATTGGGGGTGAGTTAGGTTTATGTATGCTTGTCCTGTGTAAAGAACTCGAAGGGCTACCTGTGATACAGGCTTATATCATTTCTTGAATATATATATATATATTGAATAGAAATATAAAATGAATAAATGTAAATTTAAGTGTTAAATTTTGCCTCTAGGTTCAGTTATGTTGACAGCTCCCTGTTTGTTTTTGAAATTACTCTCTCCAGCTACTCGTGTCAACTCGACCAACCAATGCTACCATCCTCAGAGCCACGCCACTTACATGGATAAATTCTTTCTGATTTTATATCTTTCCGTCCTCACATCCTCCATCTGTGTCAGTGAACTTACCAGATTATGATTTAAAATCATGTACATCGTGCGTCATACTGCAGAACACGGCTTTCCACTTTACTGTTCTGGTGCAGGTCTTCTGCCCACACCGCTCACACACACAGTAAATGTCAGATACCCCAGGATTCATCCTGAATGTCTGTCAGAGGCAGGGGCTTTGTACTGCCCTGAACACGTCAATGTCCACGAAACTGTGCCCAGCTCTTCCTGTAAATGCTGGAAAGCCAATATTTCTGTCTTTCTCCCTCTCTCCGTCGCTATCTGCGGTGTGCGATTAAGGCAATTATGTTGCCTCTTCACAACCCCACAACCCGGCACTAAAAAGCTGGGAAAACAGATTACACAAAGCAGAGGCAAGCATGTGAAATTTAGAGAGATAAAGAGAGAGACAACTGATTAAAAGCTTTCTTTGGTAGAAGGTGGCAAAAGTCGATGGGTCTATTCAGCATTCAGACCGACTGCATGTACATTACAGCATTATGGACAGGCTTTTAGTGCGCTAACGCCATACAATAGACACTACGGGTTTTACCTGAGTTAACTACTCACTTTCACCCATTAGTTGATCATTTCTTAGCCATATGTGAGATGGTCCAGATGTAAAATGGCAGCTTTTAGAAAAGAAAGACTGGTCTGACCCAGGTACAGCTGATGTGACAAAAAATAAAATGGAGAAATCTTTTTTTTTTACTGAGATTGAGATTAGGCAGGGATTAAAGAAAATGGGGAGAGAGAGAGAAAGAGAGAGAGAGAAGCAAAACTGTTGTTGTGCTCCTCTCGGCCTGCAATACGCAGTCCATCCACATTAGTTCTGATCACTGGCTGCCTCTAGGCTTTCTCTCTCCTCTTCCATCTCTCTCTCTCTCCCTCTCCCTCTCCCTTCCTCTCTTTGTTTACCACGTAGAGGTTGATTTATGTCGGCTGCACTTGGCAGAGTTGGGTGGCGTGGGCGAGATACAGCAGCTGAAGGGGAGAGAGAGTGGGGGGAGACGAGCAGGAGGGAGGAGAAGAAGGGGAAAGCGAAATGAGTAAGGCCAAATCGAAGTGATGTATCAGGGGAGACGAGAGAGAGATGAGCAAGAGAGGAGGAAACAAGAGAGTAAGGGTTGGATGAGAATAGTAAGCAAGGAGGGAGACGTTACAGGATGGACGAGGGAGGTTGGGTGAGGAAACAGGCAGAGGTGTTGGACTGGCCTGAGGTGTCTCACTCTGATTTGTATCTTTTATGATGCTTCTTCATGTCAGGACTCAAGGTCTCATGCTGCAGTCCCTCTGGCTCAGGCGCTCCTGTTGTGTGTTTCATTATGTTTTCGTGTCTCATCACTGACTGTCACGGTCAGGATGGGTTAGCTTAGAGCTGATTGCTTTACATTAGGTAAAACTTTAATGCTGTCTTTGCTAGAGCAAGGTTATTGCAGCTGCACTGTCATAAGATCAGTCAAGAGAACAGGGGTTATGTTTACAATTCAATCAGCTGTACTGAGCAGGAAGCAGTGAATGGAGATGTGCAAAGATTACAGGCTGCAAAAAATTGTGTATTCATGAGGCATAAAAGTAGAGATATGGACTTATAAAGATTCATTTTAAAAATGCATGTTCAAATGTGAAAAAGACAAGTGCAAGAGAAAGTGAAAATTAATATTCGTAAACTGCACTTTATATGAAATCTGAGGAAGAATAAAGTACTGATAACTGAAGATCCTTTTGTTTTGTATCCTTCTTTCTACATTGTGGACCAGAAAAAGAAAAAAAGAGGTATTCAGAAAACTGCAACCAGGAGCATGAAAAAAATATTGGCACCACTCAGACAGCAGCAGAAGAAAGTCTTTATATCACACAAACCAGAGAGTTGAATTTAAAACAACCCTTTGTGTCCAGTTCAAATGTATTAATAAGCCAGTACCAAGACTAAGAGTCTACGGCCGCATGAGCACCTCCATGATGATGTTTAGCAGGTATAATGTTCGCCGTGTTCACCATCTTGTCTTAGCTTGCTCGCATGCTAAAGGTTTGCTTTCCTTAGGGAGACGTGTGTAGATGAACCAAATGTCAGTCCATCCAACAGTTGTCGACATATTTGTCTAAAAACCAAAAAAAGTAAACCTCATGGCGTTGCAAGAGGAAGAGTTCAGGAGATCACCAAACTCAGTATAATCCATCCTCTGGAGACCATGAGCATCTGGACCAGATCCAAGCACAATCCAATACTTAATAGTAACTGAGATATTTCATTCTGAACCAAGGTGATACACCAACAGACTGACGCTGTCAATCTGCTGCTATCATGGCAAAAAGTCAAAAGGAAAAACCGCTCTTAAAAAAAAAAAAAAAGAAGAAAAAAGATGAGGCTCATTGGTTATCCTGATATGTTTACACTATGTGTTAAGAAGAATACATCTTTTTAATGACACTAAAAATTGTATCTGTTCTCTCTCAACCTTCTCGCAGCCGGTCAGCTGAGCCAGTCAGCTCACTTCTCCCTGCAGCTGCCCTACACTGTGCTGGGCCTCGGACGCAGCGCCAACTTCCTGGACCACCTTTTTGTCGGGATCCCCCGGCAGCCTGGAGAGACGGTGAGGAAATATGAGAGGGTTATATTACCTTGACAGCTCACAGCACTCCTTTAGAAAATCTGCCGTCTGTTTGGTCTCACAGAATATTTGAAGCAGGTTCTTTTATAGAGTTATGTGCATGATACAGCAGCTGAGAAAAGGGAGAAAGGGCTCTCAGCTGAACCAAAGTAAACCCCTTCAACACACTGGATGCAAATTGCATCAAAATACTTGCTTCATAAAACGTATCTTAGAGCATTTACAGTGCCACTCATGTGCCAGCTGAAGTCATTTCTGAGCACCCTAACCTGTCCTGAATTTAACAGCACATGGCATGCGTGGCAGAATCACTGTCTATGCAGTAAATCTGGGAAAAAAAAAAAAAAAAGGCAGTTAGAGACAAGCAGAAAACAGCCTCGGGATGAAGATGTTAAGAAAACTTTCTAAGAAAAACATGAAATGAAGGATCAGTTCATGGTAAAAGAAATTTAAGCAGTTTTAAAGTCATAAGCGCAGAGCAAAATTGTTGTTTTTCTCCCACTGCTCAGGCTTTATTTCATAATAGGCTGGATGTTACACATTTCTTCCGAGGATTATGAGGCTCATTTGAAGGATGTTGTGTGAAGATTCTTCAAATGTTCTTATCAAATTAGAAATGTTGAACAGAAACAGCAGTGTCTCCCTACAAAAATATTTAACGCTCAGTTGAGTTTCTTTTTTTTTTTTTCTTTTTTTTTAATTCAAGCACCAGATAATGCAACAAAATGTGTGATAACAGGTATTTATGTTAGTTGTCAAACAATGATGTGTTCAAAATATTTGCAAAAGGACGGAAGAATCCTGTAACCCACATTTTTTTCTTTTCCTTTTTCTTATTTGTAAAACGAATGACCAAGATCTATTTGCATAAGAAAAAAAAACTGTCAAGATCCACACAAAGCTCAACAGTTCTTAAGTCTCCAATTTCCTACTGCAAGTCTTTGGTTTGCTGCTTATTTATGGACCCTGTGAATTCTCTTAAAGGCAGGCTCGTAGTGTTTTATTTCTGTTGCCAGAGTTTCACAGCTTCACTAATTTGAATTCTCACAATAAAACTCCTTTTTATAGACGAACCCTGCTGAATGAGGAGAAGTTGTTTTCTCAGGTGTTGCAAACATTATTTGATAGCCGTCACTTATTTTCTGCCCTCAACACTAGAAAACACTAAATAATAATTAATGCTTTACGGCAGATAAATTCCTCTTCCTGCTTATACTGTATGAAGTGATTGATGACCTCACCCGGGGAGTTGATGCAGGTGCAGTGAGCTCCTCACTGGAACAGAAATACCAACACGCCCGTTTTTTTTTTTTTTTTTTTTTTTTTTAACTTTCTCACTTCAAACACGTCTTTATTTAACAACACTGTGCGAGTGGAGGATGTATGAATGACTCTGTGGATGCAGCCCACGTGCGCCTTCTGTCATTCTACAAGCTTGCGTTATATGAATATAGTAAATAATTGATTGGTTGCTATTCATCTATTCATCAGCCACATTTCTACACTACACTACCTCAAATGTCAGCTCTCTTCAGTTCAGCTCTCTCCCTCTCTCAGCATTCATCTCCATCTCTGTTTTCTCTCTCTCTCTCTCTCTCTCTCTCTCTCTCTCTCTCTCTCTCTCTCTCTCTCTCTCTCTCACACACACACGTTGCACTTGTCACACTGAATATTAGGCACGACAGGGCCCTTTTTTTCCCTCCCGTGTGGTACCAAGGTCTTCGTCAAGCAGCTGATTAGAATTGCAGATCGGTCGGTCCGCGGCTCAGAAACTGTAGTGCACCAAGAACACTCATCTCAAACAAGCTGCTTTGTTGTCCCCCTTTCCACACACACTCCCTTTTTTTTTTCTATGCAAAGAAATGTGATCTTTTTTTCCCCATTTTTCCTCCTCCTCGCCCATTCCTTCTACAAAGTGAATTAATGAGTGCCTCAAGATGCGGCCCATTATGCGGAGTAGATTTTTTTTTTTATCCACTGGGGCCGGGGAGTGGTGTAACTCCATCAGATCTACCTGTAATGAGGAGGAGAAGCTTTGGAAAGCTCTTTAGGAAAGAGAAGAAGGTTTAGAAATCCTGACCGGTACACCACCCTGCTCAGTAGGCAGGTTTGTCAAATCTCTTGATCTATCTCATTTCTGTTGTCTCCCTCTCTGGCTTTATTTCTGTCCCACTCCCATTCTCTCACTATCCTCCCCACTGTGCCCTTTACAATTTTCTCCTCCAAACTGAGAGTTCCTTCCTGCTGTTTCACAGAAGGAGAGGTTTTGTAAAATCTACTTGGATATCTTCCATCTTCTGTCCAATCATTCCTCTCTTTTATTCACCCCCCTCCCCGTCTTCGTCTCTGTTAGTCTCTATCCTCCTGTTCACTTATCTTCCACCCAGGGGATTCCCTTTGCTGCTCAAAGTGGTTTACTTCACTAATCAGTCCCCTACTTGTCACTCTCACTCTCTCACTCACCCTCCATCTCTGTATCCATCTCCCTCGCTCACTCATAGTGTGCTACTTTCCCTGGCTTTGAACCAGAGTGTCTCTCTTTCTCTCTGAAGACTTGGGAACACTTTTCTCTTCCAAACAGCCAGATCGGATCTGCTCCCAGGCAGCAGTAGTGGAGGCTGACTCGTCTGCAGCTCTGCTCCCCCGCCGGTTGCCGCACCGACGGCAGCGCTTTCCAAGAGCTAAGCGACAATGGCTGGCGGCAACAATGTGCTCGTTATGTAAAAAGCAACGCAGTTCTCGTACGCTTATTCAAAATAGCTGTAAGATGTGGTTCCTCTCAATTGATGAGGAACAGAGAGCCATAATTAAAGAGCAGTGGCATCTCCACATGCCGCCAAATGCATAAGTGGAAATGTTAATTCCTCCCAGTTACAAGCATGATTAGAGCTCTTAATAAAAAGCATCAATATGATGCCCCCTCCTCTATTTACATCTCTTAACCTCTGTGAACTCTGAACCCCTAATGAGCCTGAGCACAGGCTTGGATGAGGCTAAATCAAGACACGAGGCAAAATCAGACTCAGGAAAACTGGTGATGATGCTGAGCTTTTCCATATATCACAGCACAATTGTATGCAGAGGTTGAATACAGTCTGTGTCTGTATCTATCATCATTGGATGCTGAGCCTCAAGGCGGCAAACTACTAAAATTGAAACTTGAACTTGTGCAGAGTCAAACTGCTGTCAAACGCAGCGCTGCGAGCGAATGTTTCTAAACTCACCACAGTTTAAATCCTGACGGTTAACTCTGTCTTAAGAGTCACTGCCTGTCCAGTTTAACACCTGCGAGCCAAGGTCCTCTCAAGGTTTTTAATTCTAAGAAGAATGTGATGTAACAATGTGATATAAACAGGACACATGCAAAAACCATAAGCAGTTATGTGAGAGTGTTGACGGGGTGCAGGCGCATGTGTTCAGGGGTGGAGAGTGAGGGTTCACCCCTGAGCAGTGATGTCCCAATCCTGTTGCATGAGTTTGTGTTAGGAAGTCTCCTGTGCTTTTATCTTGGTTTTGTGTTTATTTTCACCTTAGATGATGTTCCCACAGAATATGTTGTCTTTCACTTCTTATAACCTGTTTCCTTAGATGTGAGTTTTTGTGACGGTTCCTTTTTTAGCTCCAGTCACATAAAATCATACAATCAACTGAATCACATGTCCCTCTGTGTTCTTATTATGGGCAATAATCAAGTTAGTCATTTCTGGATAGTTAGAAAAAATTGTTGTGACAGTAATCACCCTAAGTCACCTCAGAGTTTGTGTGTGTTTTCTTTTCATGTTAATTGCAAACACACACTCAGGCTGTGGCTCCAGTTTCCTCCCATGAATTCCTCTTCAAAGCAGACGTCAGCGCTGCCATAATGAGTCAAGTTACAGGATGAGAAAAGACGATGTATATTTTATCAGGACAGAGACTGAGATAATAACTTGCTCCGCAGATGGCTGAACTTTCGCACACAACCGCAGATACACTTCATCACACATGCAAATATACACACTTGTATGCACACAGACATACACACACACACACACACACACACACCAGGAAAACTTTGTTGCTCCCCAAAGCGACAGTAATTTATTTCAAGTAGCAGGTTGTCCGTGGCGTAAAGGCACGGCTTAAAATAGCCGCTGCACGGCAGCTAAGGGAAACTATTACCCTGCCCCAGAGGACTTAACATACATATTGTGAAAGTGTGTTTGTGTGTGTGTGTGTCTCTTATGGAAATCTGTGTTTTCTCCCTTCCTTTCCAGGACATAAGGAAGCAGGAGTGGACAGCCATCATCCCCAACTCTCAGCTCATCGTCATCCCCTTCCCTCACGACAAACCCCGCAGGTACAACACTTATCCTCAGAAATATTAAACAGTGTAGATATGATGTCATATGTGCCCATTCTCCTTGTTCACGGCAGTGTAATTTTTTTCTGGGAGGACCGATTGACGCTTGTTGCTATGGATACCACTGAACGCTTTAACCACCTCTTCTGATGCCACATATTGAAGTTAATGTTGCCTGAGATCAATACAGTTTCTTTGGTGTGTCTTCACAAAACGATGCCCAGATGTGAGCGTGCAAATTCCCTCACACACACACACATACACACACACGCACACACTCTCTCTCTCTCTCTCTCACTTCATAGCATGTGTTCTCATGTTATCACGACATGGCTCACATGTATCTCAAACGCCAGGAGGAGCTCCAGATGGCTTTTCAACACAGACAAACACACACATGCACCCTCCTCCATATAGCCACATAACACTCACCCAGCTCGCCAGACTTGCCACATCACAGACACACACCTACATATACTCCACAAGTTTAAATGAGACCTTAACTAGGAAAAAGAAAAAAACAGGTGCATTGGTATTCTTCCTACATACACTATGAGTTAGCAGATTGTGAGGTGATAAATTTAATATATCAAAGAGGCTGACGCTGGAATTACATAAAAGTTCTTGGAAACCAGAGAGCGAGCAGAGCATCACTCCGTTCAACTGTGACAAGAAAGTAAAAGAGATCCATCCATCCATTCATTTATTTTAACTTAATTAGGACACAATCTCTGCTTATGTGTGCCATTTGGTAATTACATTGTTTTTCCGTCAAATAAAACTATGATGAAACATAAAACAACATATGGCAAGTTGTCATTTTTTCACACTGTCTCTCTCTCTCTCTCTCTCTTTAGTTGGAGCGCTAAACTGTATCTGACTCCTAGCAACAGCGTGCTGCTGACGGCCATTGCGCTGATCGGAGTGTGCGTCTTCATTCTTGTCATTATTGGCATCCTTCACTGGCAAGAGAAGGTCAGGACAGACACATACACACACACACACACACACATACACACAACCACACACACACACACATACACAATGGTTCAGTTAATGCTGCCTCTTCCTGATGATTTACTGCTTTAGAGTTTGAGTGTGTGTGCGTGTATGTGTGTGTGTGAGAGACCAGATTGGTCACAACCAGCAGCAGATGGGTCTTGCTGTCCCTGTCCTGTAGTCCTCTAGCCTCCCGCTGAGACACACATACATACTTTTCTATCTCTCTCTCTTCCTCTCTCTGCCTATCTCTCTCTGCCCGGGCCACAACCTGGAAGGACGTTCAACTGTAATTGCCTGCTTCTGTCCTTTCAGCATGGCAGATCTGCTGTTCATTACAGCAATATATATGTCCTCCAGGGAGTCACTGCATGTTTTCATGTGTGTTTCGTGCGTCAGCTCCTCCTGATCCTGTTGTCGTTTGAGTTACACACACACACACACACACACACACACACACACACACACGGTACAGTCACAGTAAAATGTACACTGACACATACATTATTTAACACTGATTCTCACAAATTAACTTTTTTTTTTTTTGTTCTTTGGATTGTTTTGTTTTTCATCTACACACACTGTGGTGATGCTGACTGCTGGGCTGAGTGGTGCCGTAAGTTGCTGGCATTTTCTCCAAGCCATCTGCTGTGCGAGTATGTGCGCTTAATGGCTGTGTGTGTGTGTGTGTGTGTGTGTGTGTGTGTGTGTGTGTGTGTGTGTGTGTGTGTGTGTGTGTGTGTGTGTGTGTGTGTGTGTGTGTGTGTGTGTGTGTGCTGTGTGTGTGTGTGTGTGTGTGTGTGTGTGTGTGTGTGTGTGTGTGTGTGTGTGTGTGTGTGTGTGTGTGCCTGTGTGTGTGTGTGTGTATGCCTGTGTGTGTGTGTATGCCTGTATGTGTGTATGCCTGTGTGTGTGTGTGTGTGTTCATGGTTACATACACAAAAACAGTCTAATTGCCCTCTTTTTGGGAGACATGGCCGACGTATTAGCTTCATCTGAATCAACACTGCACATGAAAAAACATGGCTGGTGACTGAACCAAGTGTCTAGATACACTAGAGGAGGAGGTGTGTGGGGGTGAAGAATGTGGATTCATTTAAGAGGAAGAAAAAGGAAAATGCAAATAAAATAAAAAAAAAAACTGTGTAGGTTGGTAGTATACTTCACTTGAAATCAAATCTGGTATGTTCAGGGTCTGTAGTCACAAGGAAGCATTGATCACTGTGGTGTGTTTAGACTGAGCTGTAAAAGTTTCAACACATTTCTGCCTCGTTCCATACTCATGCAAGTTTCGAAAGGGGGAACTGGTTCTGGAAGTATTTTTTGCCACTCTGGTTGTCCATTTGAATTATATTAAAGTTTCTCTCTAGACATGTTTTAAACTATGTAAAAATACTCTGCCCTGAGTAATATTTTGTTTAACATTGTTTCCCACATAAAAAGTGTAATAAATGGGAAGCACATCTATTCTTACTTCCTCATTGAGAAATTCTGGATCAGACCTTGTGCCCCGCCCACCACTGCTTGCTCCAGGTGGACAGGTGAAAGAGCAGAGAGTATCGAGATGGTTAGAGGAGGAAACATCAGAGAGACTCAGCCACATGTTTGAGCCTCAGTCAGACCCAGACTCAGGTGAGGAGCAGACGGCTCAGAACGGTTAGTGCAGTCACCATCTTGTATTTTGATTATGTTGTTTGTTAGCTTGTAACTGGCAGTGGCCGGCAGTTGTTGGCGGGTGTGCTGATGCAAAGTCTCGCTCTCTGTACTTACAAGGTTTTAGGTTGGACAGGATTGGTTTCTTAGTTATATGACGTCTGAATCCCTGGCTGTCTGCATCTGTTTTTATGAGACTGTCACTGGTGCACTGCAGCTCAAAGGTGGAAATACTCAGTTATGGTGTTGACTGATTATTTCACTCATGATATGTCTTGTATTATATTAAAAATGTGGACATGTTAACAAGGTTAAAAAGTTGATTTTCATTTTTTGTTTTTTCACTTTTGTATATAATAAAACAGCTGGTCAGCGGTATCAGACTGTGGCAGTTTGTCACTGAAATCTGTAACAAAACACTGAGCCATGTTTGGTGAAAACATCTAACATTGACTCAGTAATTTGATTAAAACTGAAAATGCATTTTCAGGTTTCTATAAAACCTAATCTCGAGCTTTCTGCTATGTTTGCAACAGAAATGTAGGTTCAGTGACTGGATCACTCACTGAAACCTATGTACTTACATTTTTATGTACACAGGTTTGTTCATGTGCATTTTCTAACACAGCTGCTCATGTGTTATACTGATAATTCTACCAGCAGAGCTTCATGCCTGTCCAAGCCTTGGAAATGTGCCAACTACCAGTCACCTAACATCATCCATGCTAAAAAACAAACAGGACTTTCATTTCCAGAACCGTGGACATCTGAAATATCTCTTAGCGATCAGATTCACAAAATGTCTGTACGAGCCGAAAGATAATCATTTCAAAACTTGTCTATTTGTGATTGAACTAGTCTGACAATGTTTGGATGGTGTGGATGAACTGACCTATAATATACTGCGGGACCTCTTTTAAAAAACATAACAAATCTGGAGTATGTGACTGGCCTAACAGCTGAAAGACACACGTCTGGACTGAAAGGCCAGTGTGGAGTAATCTCATGCACCATCCAGGCAATCAAGACTAAGGATGAATCCTGTAAACCGCTAACATCGCTAACATCCTCCCTCATATCTCATCTTCTCCCACCTCATCTACTGCGGGGGCCATCCAGTAAGGTCAGGGCGAGCCCGCTGATTGACATTTGGCATTTCTGTGTGTTTGCGCGGCCGCCTCTGGTATTTGCTCTTCTAATAACAAAGTCAGGTAGAGGGCAGAGGCGTGGGGGCAAAGACGTGCTGTCCTGCCTAACAAGCTAAAAGGGCTTTTACACAGCTCCCGTGAACTTGTCGGCAATGAAATATTAGCCGCAGTAATAATGGATATCAAACAGAAAGTCATATTTAAAATAGATAGAAAGATATGTAATGAAGCAGAATGTAATCAGTCATCTTACCTCAGATCCATCATCCCCATGTAGGCCAGATTTAATTAGTTGACATTAGAGCCCAGTGAGACTGCAACATGCCTCACTGTAGCTTAACACCTGGTTTCAGACACAGACCCACCACTGCGTCATTGAAACCTTTTGATGGACACAAATCAATGCCTCTGCAGCTTAATGATGATTCAGGCCTCAAGATGACAATTTGGTATTATCCCCTGGATTGTCAATTAGACTGAACCGCAGCACAGCCCAGTGGATCGGTTATTCAAAGGAAAGAACATCACATCAATCCATCTGCTCCTTAAAACACAAAGCTCTAAAAAAAAAAAAAAAAAAAAGAGAAACCACAACATGAATCAATATAAGGCACTGGTATCTTGGAAGACAGATTAAGACCTGATTACAAACCAAAACTGATTGGATAAAAAAAATGCAGTAAATGCGCTGCTGCCCATCGTGTGTGTGCAGTAAATTAGTCAAGATCAAGGAGGGATTGACTGTCCTTTAAAAGGGGACAGTCATCTCTAAGTCTCTCAGATGTACTGAGACTGGGTTCAGTCCTTTTCATACAAAACATGATCCGCTTTACTGCAACATTTAGACCAAAGTGTTGAGGAAATGAAAAAGAGGATGGTTCCATTCAGATTCTTGCCTGTTTTCTCCCCATCCACAGTTCATCAATAACCTCATATAACAGATCTAAATGCATTATTGACTGCACTGTCACCAGTCCTGATGATGTGGAATCTTTTTTTTTTTTTTTTTTTTTTTACAGATGGCGACCTCTAAAAAAGTATAATATGCCTCCCTCCTTTGATCCAGAGCCCCATCAAACCTCATTACAATGTACCGCCATAGATAATGGCTCAGAATGATTTCTGTCTCCAGGAATTAAAAGTTATCATGACATTTTTAAAGTGGTATTCCATACAAAATGTATCTTTTAAGTCTTAAAAACATATCCATTCTTGGCTTCAAAGTTAATTTGCTCAAATATTGTACTGGAGTACAGTTTTGAGGTACTTTTTTATTCTACTTTTTACATCTACCCTTCTGTGCTCCAGAGGAGAGTCATGTACTTTTTACTCCACTACATTTATTTGAAAACTTAAGTTACAAGTTACTCTGCAGATGAAGATTTACTCACAAAACATGTAGTCAGCTTATACATTCTAATGTATAGTTATAAATGTAACTACAAATGATACAAAGAAGGTAAAATTAGCTCCACCTGGTCCAGCTACAATATTAAAGGACAGGTTCACACAATCTTCACATATGTAAATGGGTCGGTTTCTGCCTCCTGTCTCCACTGGCTGTGAAAATTTCCCTCCCATCACAGTTCTAACGTAAGAGTAAATGGAAAGTCCACCGTCCTCGCTCTGTGAAAATATGCAAAGTTGATCTAAAGCTAAAATGAAAAGTTACAATCTTACAGTCCAGCTATGGAAGCTCAACAGGGACACCTTGTCCAGAGGAAACATTTTGTACTAAATAGACTGTCACTTTGTTTTACTTGGTAAAGGCGCTGAAAACTTCTTCCACCACTTCTCTTAAACTTAACCAGCAGAAATATCAAGGAGAGATACTGTCTCTACAACACTAATACTAAAACATGTCTGTAGAAGAGTGCATCTAAAAGGAGTATTGAAGCTGGACCTGGTGTTTGTTCAGCTTTGTACACTTTACACTCTTTACACTGCATTTTATATATTTCATTTTATCTTGTAGAACTACTGGTGTGTGATGACATTTGAGAAGTTTGGGATTTTTGTTAATTGAAAAGAACATGTACAGATGTTTATAACCCTGACTGGGGTACCAAAAAAAGTATTAGCACCAAAAGGTAACAAAACATAATAGCAGTAATACTGAAAGAATTCAAATGATACCCAGCTCTATTTGTGGCAGTTAAATCACATTTCCACTCTGCACATGCTCCCTTGTGTTTATAGGTAGAAAACATCAAGCTGACCGAGCAGTAAGTCAGGAAAGAGCGTTTCCAGCGTAGAAGCAACAGTGAGGGGACTGATACGGAAACGATGTAGTTATCTCTTTTCTGTTGCTTAAAACTATAAACTACAAACTTTTTACAGCCACCTTTAAGTATGCAGGGCGTGTGCAGGGCGTGTGCAGGGCGTGTGTAGGACGTGTGTAGGGCGTGTGCAGGGCGTGTGCAGGGAGTGTGCAGGGCGTGTGCAGGGCGTGTGTAGGACGTGTGTAGGGCGTGTGTAGGGCGTGTGCAGGGAGTGTGCAGGGNGATTGTACAGGCAGTGTGCAGGGCGTGTGTAGGGCGTGTGCAGGGCGTGTGCAGGGCGTGTGTAGGACGTGTGTAGGGCGTGTGCAGGGCGTGTGCAGGGAGTGTGCAGGGCGTGTGCAGGGCGTGTGTAGAGCGTGTGCAGGGCGTGTGTAATGCGCGTGTGCAGGGCGTGTGTAGGGCGTGTGCAGGGCGTGTGCAGGGCGTGTGCAGGGCGTGTGCAGGGAGTGTGCAGGGTGTGTAGTGCGCGTGCAGGGCGTGTGTAGTGCGCGTGTACAGGGCGTGTGTAGTGCGCGTGTACAGGGCGTGTGCAGGGCGTGTGTAGGGTGTGGGCAGGGCGTGTGTAGTGCGCGTGTACAGGGCGTGTGCAGGGCGTGTGTAGGGAGTGTGCAGGGCGTGTGTAGTGCGCGTGTACAGGGCGTGTGCAGGGCGTGTGTAGGGTGTGTGCAGGGCGTGTGCAGGGCGCATGCAGGGCGTGTGCAGGGTGTGTGCAGGGCATGTGCAGCAAGTTAAAAGAACTTCAAGGTGGAGTATACTTAAATTGTTACTGTTCATACCTTATCTGTAAATGTTCACGCAGCTGCCTTCTTCTTTTGTTCAGAGAGAACTGTACATCATCCCACTAATGCACTGTGGGGATGTACACAGTCTGTACTCGCTGAAATTACAAAATGGCTTCCATAGGACCTCAGTTCAGAAAATATACTTCTCTATGGAGGGCAACATCACCTGTGAGTTGCAAGAAGTAAAAAAAATGTGCTGCTGTTGTCTAAAAGTTCTCCTCACCCCATCAGGAATATTAGGAGCATGTGACGTGGACGGGGGCCCTCGGGGGGGGAGGTGTTGTGAGGGGGAGGTGGTCTATGCTGAACATCGTGTCAGCTTGTTCTCAGCTTAGCTGGACGCTGCCGCCTCCAGTCATCACACCTGCCTGTTTGTCTGCCTGCACAGATGATGATAATGGCCTGTTGGCTAGAAGTACACACATATTATCCGTTTATAAGCACTTATCCTTAAAAGGCCTTTTCATAAGAACAGAAAACGTGCGTGCGTGTGTGCGTGCGTGCTGGTTTATTGTCATTATTTTACATGTGTCCTGTGTTTTTCTTCTCTCCTGTGGTTTTATGAGACAAAGTATTTGCCAAGATGACAGATAATTGAGGCGACTTTTTTTTACCTGTAGTTCTGTGATTAAATATTGAAAGGTTAACTTCCCCACCAGAAGTCACTTGCTACATCTGTTCTTTTGTGGTTGCTCAAAAATGTGATGATTACACAACATAGTTAACCTGAATTTGTTATTTGCTCAGTTTTGCCTCGTGGCTGTTTCATTTTTTACAAATTAATTGGTGGTGGCTGTTGTTGTCGTTGATGCACAAGCAGAGGGGCCTAAATACATGAATCTACCACTGGGTCCATTTAGTTAAACTATGTGACCATGTTTAATATTACAGCAGACCTGGAACTAACACAACTGGTTTTAACACTATAGCTGTGTAAACAACACGCTCAGTTTGGTCATGATGCTGAAAGAAGCCACTGATCAGCTGAAGAGGATCACTGGTAGCATATTGCAGCTTGTGTGTCCAAACCTTGGCTGTTTTCTCAGCTTGATGTTTGGTAACAATACAGTGTACTCACTGGTCATTATTGTAGCTACCTGTACTCTCTACACTATCTCCTGGTACTTGTGTTGGTTTCCTCTGGGTGCTGCAGTTTCCTCCCACAGTCCAAAGACATGCAGGTTAGGTTCATTGGCTCTAATTTGCCCATAGGTGTGAATGTAAGCGTGAAGGCCTGTTTGTCTCTATAGCCCCTTTTACACTGCCTGTTCGAGGTGGGAATGCTGCCCCTTTATTCTGCCTCACCATTCTATATAAAAGGTACAAACACAGAATGGGGAAGCATTGTTGCCTCTATGCCAGCAGTGGAGGCAATCACAGAGCCGGAATAGCACTTGTGTAAAAGTTGGAGCCGGCATGGATGGACAGATACGAACACTGTTGTGTTACACGTCACACCTCTCAACTCCAGCGTGCTCTAAAGTCTTATACAGGGGCAGTAATATGCCGACTTTGTTTGGTTCAGTGTAAACAAGCAAAGGCGGCATGATGAGGGGTCTTTTTAATGGCAGTATAGCAGGATCTCTGTATAAAGGGGGATAATGTGTCAGCCCTGTGAATGACTGGTGACCTGTAAAGAGTGTACCCCACCTCTCATCCATTATTAGCTGGGATTGGCTCCAACCTCCCCCCCCCACAACCCTCAAGGATAAGCAGGGTGTAGCACCTTTTAATAACTGTCAGCCTCCGCCCCGCAATTTTCATCATTTGTCCTAGGTGTTTTGTTGCCACTTCTTTATTTTTCACTGGGGTACCAGTACCTTTTCCTTCCAAGAACTAATAACATTCGCTAACATTATTTACTGAGACATTACTGAAGACGTTCCCAAGACACAAGATGCTTCTTGTTAAATGTGCAACAGGGCAAACAGCAAAATTAACTTCTGAAGAAGACAGATTTCTGGGCTGCAGACACTGTTTTATAGTTTGTGATTTTCCAAATGTTTGCAGGTTGTTGAACAAGTCTGCAATACAGTTCACTTGTCCTTCTTTCACTTACTGTGTCATTTTATTCTTTGATGAAAATTGAAAAATATTTGGTCATTGTAGTTTATTTGTTAGTTTTACTCTTATGTTCCACTTGGAAAAAAATTCAATGTTTTTTTTGACAAAATTAATACTGGTGAACACACACACACACACACACACACACGTAGTAGTACTACAGAATCTACACATTAATAACATGTCCTATATGTTCAACACTGCAGACCAACAGAAAGAATTTTCTTGTGGATTGTGATTCATAGACAAAAAAAAGTGTTGTATATCATATGTTTCTCTACCTCTTTATCACCTTCATCTGTGTGTGTTTATTTGTGTTCGTGTGTTATCAGAAAGCGGATGACCGAGAGAAGAGGCAGGAAGCCCACCGCTTCCATTTCGATGCCATGTGAAGGAAACTGCTGCATCATGGGAGAAGATCCTCTCCTCCACTCCTCCGCCCGCCTCACCACGCCTCCTTCACACAAAAATTTTCACACAGACTCATTTCAAGGGCCAATAAATGGATCCTCATTTGCACCAAAACGTTTCTTTTTGATATTTGTCAGTCCTCAAGTCAGATGTGAAATATTTATGTTCCATTTCATTTATTCATTCCAGTGTTAGAAGTACAGGAGCTGCAACAAGACCGTGGAGACAGAGAGAAATCCTAATGGAGATCACTGACAAGTTTAAAGCAGGGATTTCTTTGGACTGGCTGCAGTCAGCAGCTTCATCAAAAGTGGTGTTAGTAGAGTGTTTTGACAAAATGACTTAGATTTCTGTTCAAACTCCTGACAAGTTACTTTAACTGTTTGTTTAGTGGATCACTGGAATGGATGCAGCTTTGGCACAAAGTGTTGACATGTGTATTGCTACTTGAAACCCACGTGTGTGTTACTGTCCATTGTCTTTGTCTAGTTGATTCACCTCTGTTTTTTTTTTTTTTATCTGACTTGGATATTGTAAAAAGCAAAATACATCATGTTTTATGACCTGGGAAATTAAACTGAAATGACTTCTCTAATATCAATCTCAGCTTTGCAACTGCAGCAGCAACTGGTGCAAAGTGAACAAAAATGGATGCATGATCTTTCTTCTACCAATCTCACCAAAAATGATGAATGGCCTTTTAGGTTTGCTGAGTGCAGATTCATCTTTTTCACACTGTATTGTATCACAGTGCATCATGGGAGTGCCAAAAAAGGAGTTTCTAAGTTGCATCCTGTAAATGTCTAATACTACTGCATCGAGGCTCGGAGAAGAGTCTAAAAACAGTTACTCCAGTTTGTTTCAAGATGTAGGTTTAATTTTCATTGTGTCTCTGAAGTTAATTGGGCCAAGCGCTCTGGTGTGTTCCGATAGTTGTTTCACAAGAATGAGCTCATGCCTTTCTAAATGGTTTGCACTTTTTTAACTAATGATTAACTGTGGGTGTATGTAATTTATTTTGTTTTGTGGATTTGATTTGCAAATGAATGTTGAAGCTACTAAATGTGTTTACTTACTGAGGCTGAGAATAAAGGTTTCTCCTGTTTAAATCAGCCCCGGGTTGGTTAATTTGTGCTTTATTAGACTTCTTGTCTTGTTAATGTTGCGTTCTCCTTAAAGCTGCTTGTGAAATAAATAGATACACATTAAGTCCCAGACCCACAATTTACCATTTAGAATAGTTCTTCCCCTGAAACTCCTTTCTAAGAACATCCTTTGTTTATTTTGTAGCAGGGAGGCTAGAGGGAGATTTACACTTAAAATAATCATTTTTATATGCTCTTCGTTATCTAAATTTATAGTGACTGAAGCAGCACAGAAATTAAACTGCCTTTAATTTTCCACAGGACCCCTGGAGCCCCCTTTGAGCAACCCTCTGGGCCCAGCACCCCATCTCAGGAGCCACCCTGCTAAATAATGCATGGATGGAGTTAACCCTCCCTGCATGGCAAATGAGAGTAAGATTGTCTCACGCGCTGTAGTCTTTAAGCAGAGCACAAGCATTGCAGAGCATGTATGTCACTCTAACACGTACAGTATTGACAGTCAATAGCTGTGTGCATGTGTGTGTTTGGAGACGCACACGCACAGAGGGAGAGAGATAGAAAGAGAGAGAGGGGGACTTAGAGCAAGGAGGGGGTGGTGCACTAGAGCTGTGTTAAGCTATACAGAGAAAACCAGAACAGTACAGGAAATGAGTGGGTTTGGCCTAAAAAAATAAAAGCATGGAAAGAAAAATGGAAAAGGTAAGGTTTAGGAGCATAGAAGAGTTTTGTCACTAAACCTTAAAACTGTACAAGCAGATCAAATGCAGATTTCTTCAGGATTGGTATTTGATTAGTCAGAACCAAATATGCTTCTTGCAGATTCGGGATTTTATTATGCCCTAAAATCAAATTTGGACTGAGACCAATGATCACATCGGTGAATTACATCAGGCATTTACACCCTCATGATGTTTGGGATATACATGGATAGATCAGTTCTGTCAATAGGTCTTTACAATGATAAATAAAAATATAAATAATTAAAATAAACAAGAACAACTGAGTGTCTGTTAACTTGAAATTTAGTTGGGTTCCATAGCAGTAGTAGTGATCTGCATTGGACAGTTGACAATATACAAAACCAAGAAAATGTTGGCACAATCCGATGCCTTGTTTTATCACAAAACTTGGCCACAGTGTGGTTAACGGTCAATGTGTTGGTTGTTCATTCTGAATAAAAGCAGGAGAAACCAGCTTCCTCCTTTATGCATAATGCTTCCACCTTTTTTATTTACAACCTGCCCATGTTTCCCCACCAATATTAACAAGGCTTATTTCAATAGTAAATCCCCTACCTATAGTAAGACGATGTAAATACAAAAAAATCACCAGTGTCATTCTTCCTTGAAATCCTTTACTTTTCAGTTAATTGTTGAATTAGGAGAAGGTGCAACAAGTTCCCCAGTAAGGTTTTATTTTGAAAGATATGACCGGAAAAGTAATTTCTTAACTGTGTGTGCTTTGACTGCGCTCATGACAAGCCACTCATTGATGTAAGCAGCGCCCACGGCTTAAATGAGCCTCGTTCAGGAGCATTTCTTAGTTCAGACACGGACGGAGATTAGACAGAGACGGACTCTCCTCCTTCTCCTCCTCTCCTCCTCCGTGCTCTTCCTCCATCTCTCTCTTTGTCTCTCTCTATCCATCAGCCATCCAGATGCGTCTTTTGGATACCTACCTCTCCTAGAGCGCGTCTACCCGCCTGGATCAGTCCATCTCCACATGTCATCTGCACTGTGGTCCCACTGGAAGCTGTGTTTACAGTAGCGATGCCTGGCTGAAGGGCTCACAGCAGTGTTCATCTTCCAGCCCCACGCAGCGGAATCGCCGATTGAAGAGGAGCTTGGTGCCGCTGTCTTCTTGGAGCGTGGCTCTGCGTAATGGATTTACTGCTGGCGGAGAAAGAAAGTTGGATTTTGTGAAGAGCCCCGAGGACCCCTACAATGGACAGAATAGGAGGGCGTTTTTAGAAAGGTGCTTTTGAGTTGGAATCACACCGTGAGAGGAAATGCACAGAGGTGAGTTGAGGCTTGTATGAGCTGCCCGAGCATCCTTGTTGCGCGTCAGGGTCCGGTGCCTCGGGCAGAAAGAATCGACAGTTTAATGAAATGTATTTAGCTTTTTGCCTCGTCTCTTTTCAGCACAATGGATATTAAATTTGCAGCTGTCTTAGATTGAACACACGCCACAAAGCAATGAGTGAGGCGTGAAATTATCAAATGCGCACTATATGGATCAGCTTCAGTACAAAGTCCTCATTATTCTGTATGTTCCTCATAATCTGAGACACACGAGATAATCTACAGGAAAACTGTGCAAACTGACCACTGCCTTCCTCTGGCTCTTCCCTGACATCTCCCTTTCTCACTCGTTTATTTGTCTTTAGCATCAGCTTGCCCTCTTGTGACTTTTACGGCAAATCTTCCTGTTTTATTGTCCACATCACCCCATCGCCATTAACCGGTGGTGTTTAATCCACCAGTTCAAGTCCCAGCATCTGCTGATATGCCTCTTATTCTGTAAGATTCAGTCAAACCAGCAGATAGGTTCCTCTGGGCTTGGTTGGGTCTGGTTTGAACCAACGTGTGCCCAGTCATTGTAAAAAATTATAATTATAATTATAATAAACTAAAATAGCCTCACGTGATATTGGTCTCATTAATACTCTGATGCTCCGACCAATTAAACGCGATACATTACTTCACTGACGCTCCTGTCTGCTGGACTGTTTGAGCGTAATGTAAAAAGGACCAGAACCAGAGGTTTCCCCGCTGTGAGGAGTGCCTCTGTCCACAGCAACCTATGTGAGGGCAGCCTATTTGAGATTCATGACTGTAATGGACAGATAAGGTCAAACACTATTTGAAATCCATACAGGGGCGATAAAACCGTCAGGGGGCATTAAGTGTTTCCAATATGTGGACGTAAAAACGTCTGGTCTGTCACAAAGACTTTGTCTCCAGAAATGTGGCCACAAAGAGAAGCACGTTTGGAGGTTTCCGGTGCCACAGTTTTTTTTTTTTTAAATAACGTGAAACAGTTTTTTCTGAATAAAAAAGACTCGTGTTACTTCACACTACTCACAACCAGGGTCCAACATTAGAATATTTCTCCTCCGTGGAGAGGGAAGCCGTCCAAGTTCACTCATGTCCTGCACCAGCGATAGCCTGCGCGCGTGCTGCCGCTGCTGCTCAAGCGACTCCAGCTTCAGCCACGGTCTCGCGCCATCAGCACCTGAGGCACGCGCCGCAGCAGACAGCTGCAACACCTCTTGATGCGTTCAGTGAAGCGTTGTTGGTGCTGTGGCGGGGGCAGTTTACTGCAGTAGCTGTGTGGTTAAACAGGTAAATAATGTAAATATGTTCGTTGGCCGTTAGCTACCATTTAAATGCAGAGTTAACTGTTAATTGTAATTACTTATAACGATTAGCCGGTTTATAGTCTAATTATGAGTGGCTACAGGTGTAGTCTACCTTCAGGCCGTCACTTGTCATGTACCACGTCACAGACACGAGACGAAAAGTAATTTCTTGCATTATGAAGCTTTATTAGTGGCTTTACTGTGGTAGACCCATTCTTGCCTTACCTCATTAAGTGTTAACTTGCTAATTATTTAACCTTTTGTCTGGTGGCCTATTTGTAGCTGGTATGTCGTTGTAGTTCGTGTCATATAGACCTAATTAAGGCCACACTTGCTTATTTGGACAGGATACAACAAAAGTCCTCATTAACAGGTTTTATGTCATTTCTTCAGTCCTGGGTTATAGTAGGCTGTGGTGGCCTTTTTTGTTCTGTCTTGTCAGTTTTGAGAGAATAAAGCAGATTACAGCTTTAACTTGGCTTGTGAGCCCAAGTGAGAAGTGATGTAAAATGACATGAGCTACCCGCGGTCATTTTTTATTCTGTCGTTCTTTAAAAGGAACAGAACACATCTTTCAGTGGGATAAGACAATGCCTTAAAACATTGTCGGGAATAATAGGAACTGGACTACACATACATGACTCAACCTATCAGTATGTGGAGACCTTACAGATAGTGAGATGGGTGCTTTTTGTGACATATGCCATTCTTTGTTATAGAGTTGTGTTTTCATAGTTACATTATCATTCATCATCCATTTCATACACCTTCACCAGTTCTTCCCTTAGTCTTGAAGTGACACTGGCTGCAACTCTTATTTAGCTTGTGATTAATTTATAATGTTACAAAAGATGTTACAAATGCTTACATGAATTATTTAATTTCTGCCTAATAACTTTATTTAAATATTTATGTGCTTGATAAACATTTCTGCCACTGCAGCTCAAGGTAACGTTTTATCTCAAGACATTTACAGGCTGGAAAAAATAATGTTCGCACAGAGTCTGTTTTGTTGATATTTCCAAACAAAAGGCCTTGAAAGGAAGACAACTTTCACATTTTGAAGTAGTAGCTTTGTAGAGGGCAGCAGTAGTCTACAGTGTAAACTGTCTGTATAAGATTTAGTGAGGCTTGTAATGTGAAAAAGCTTCAGTGAGAACCTGTTATTTGCGTTTGGGTGGCCTGTTCTCTCGATGTGCCTGTGGTAGTTCACACTCCCACCTACGATACTTCATTGCAAGATAATGGAGATAGAAGTAATGAAGATCCAGGAGCCTCGGGGGCCGTGTGTATGTGTGCATTTCAAAATGAGTCCATTCAAACATGCATGCTCACTGGAGCATTTGTGTTCACTGCTTATGTTAACCATGCAATCTTCTTCATGAGACCCCCACCCCTCGCTCTCTCTCTCTCTCTCTCTCTGTCCTTCTCTCCCCCTCTCCTCCCTCAGCCCTCCATCCTTCCTTCCATTATGCAACGTGCCAGGCTCACGCTCACTCTCTAATTTGATGTGAACAGGCCAACCTATTATGAACTCAGTGGGGATCAGGTCTACAGCGGCTTATCAGAGCAAGGCAGTGTCAGAAGCTGTAACATGCTCGCCCCTCAGTGCAGATATCATTGTAATACAACGTATTTCACCTAT